TACAACAAATCACACGATCGAGCCCTAGAAGAGCACAACTGCAGGTACCAACCTCCATCTGCCTAAATATACAGAGAACACTGCCACAGCGTGCTCATACAGCCAGGACGGGGCAACGGGAAGATGGGACAGGATTTGGGGGGTTATTGCTTTTTTTTTTTAGTTGTTTTCCCTTGAAAGAACCCACCTTTTCTTCAGCTGCTGAGATTTAGGAGCAGAAACTCTCCTGGAACTGGGATGGAGGACAGGCTGAGAGCCCTTGGACACGCTGGCGATGGTGCCAACCCCTGTGGCACCCTGCACACTCACTTTCCCTCCTGCTTCTCAGGCACTGGTGACACAAACACTTTGCCAAGAGATATACATTTCTATACAGCCTTCCATGGCATCATCACAAGTGCCAAGATGTTGACCCAGATCTGCAGACACCAGGGTGCCAGCGTGCCACCGGAGAAAGGAGAGTGACCTGGCACCCTGCAAGCAGCTCCAGAGTCCTCCGTCTTCAGGGATAATTCCTGATCAACCCCACACCCTACACAGAGAACACTGCCACAGCGTGCTCATACAGCCAGGACAGGGCACCGGGAAGATGGGACAAGATTTGGGGGGTTATTGCTTTTTTCTTAGTTGTTTTCCCTTGAAAGAACCCACATTTCCTTCAGCTGCTGAGATTTAGGAGCAGAAACTCTCCTGGAACTGGGATGGAGGACAGGCTGAGAGCCCTTGGACACGCTGGCGATGGTGCCAGCCCCTGTGGCACCCTGCACACTCACCTTTCCTCCTGCTTCTCAGGCACTGGTGACACAAACACTTTGCCAAGAGATATACATTTCTATACAGCCTTCCATGGCATCATCACAAGTGCCAAGATGTTGACCCAGATCTGCAGACACCAGGGTGCCAGCGTGCCACCGGAGAAAGGAGAGTGACCTGGCACCCTGCAAGCAGCTCCAGAGTCCTCCATCTTCAGGGATAATTCCTGATCAACCCCACACCCGCAAAGGTGTCTGGCAAAACTGATCCATCCCCAGGAGGTTTCTGCCCAGAGACCTCCCTGCACAAAGGAGCCTCCAGCAGGTTCTCCTGAGCTTCTCTCCCCAACTTGAACAGTACATGAAGTCCCTATCAGGAAAGACTACATTTTATCTAATGCAAAAAAAATATTAAAAAAACCCCACCAACCACACACCACTAAATATCAACCTCACCCAAACATGCGATTTTTTATTGCACATATTATATTCTATGCCTCACCACACTGCAACGCCAGTGAAGAGTCATTTAATTTGTATTTGACCAGAGACTTAACAAAATTACGATTCAAACCTAATTATCGATGAAAATCCAAAGCTCGGACTTCTCCATCCTACTCCCAAAAGGAGCCTGGGATGCGAGAGCAGGGGCAGGACATGGTGCCAGGGGACTGGAAGTCAGTGCCAGCTGCAGGGGAGCGGGGAGAGAAGGGGGGTCCTGGAGAGGGCTCCGTGCAGGGATGGGGGGAAATGCTGCACCAAGAGCTGGGGACAGGGACTGTGAGCCTGAGGGTGCCACATCTGCTCCCATCTGCCAATAAAGATGTTCTTTGCATCACGCTCCCGCAGTTGGCTGCCAAACCAGCTGGAATTACAACCCCCCAAAATCCAATCACGGTAATAGACACGATGATCAATAAGCACCGAAGGCAAGTACACACATCCCACTTCCCACCTCTCCACACACAACCTCTACAGCAAGAGCAATTAGCAGAAATGAAGTTTTACTCCAGGCTCATCAGAACTGGCCTCACGTCCACCGACTCTCAGAAGAGAACGGGGCTTTAAGACTTCTTTTTTTTTTTTGTTTTTCCTGCTTATTTTGGCAGTCTCTGTGGAGGTTCAGCAGCTTTGGGTCATCCCACCCTGCCAGGAACTGCCAAGCACCCGGCTCGGGTGTCTGCAATTCAGCATCAAAATAAAGCAAATTAAGATTGCAACCTAATGAGGCAATTCTAGTCATTTATTTATTTAGCCATCAAGTAGTAAACTACTGCTGTACAACCAGCCTGGCCGTTCCAGCAGCCTGCTTTCCCTGCTGGAAGGTTTTAGGAGGATGGGGACAGACCTCATGCTGTGCTGGGACCAGGACCCGCTGCTCAAACCTCACCACCTTCAGAGAAACAAACCAGCACAGAAGGTGATTAAAATAAATAAATTAAAAGGAAAACAAACAACAAAACCCACCAAACAAACACCAAACAGTGTCTGGATCTTCAGATGCTTCTCTGGAGAGAGCTGTGATTTCACCTCCAGCCTTTGAAACGATGCTCACCTTGGGCAAAAACCTGCTTCTCGTTACACACCTGCACGACCCCATTTAATTCACGGAGAAAGGTGGATGACAGAGTATTACTGGGTGTTTCAAGTCTAGCACAAGTGTCTTGCCCCCTGGCATTTTGACTGAATAATTTAAAAAAAAAAAAAAAGTCATCTGTGGAGTAAGGCAGAGGGCTGGTTAGCCAGCCCTGCCAGGCAAAATGTGCATTTATCATCACAAACAGGCTCTGAAGTTTCTAGGCACACTCTGCCTTGCACATCCCTCACCCCGTGTCTGAACGCATCGCAGGTGTGTGACAAACATGGAGTCCTACACTCTTCTTCTGAAATTTGGCCCAGAGAGACTCGACCGCTCACTGAGAGCTGTGGGGACATTTGTCCCCACCTCAGCTGGGCTCAGATCCCACCTCCCTGGGCTACCCACACCACGGGTGCATAGGTAAAGAGCAACCTCCTGCCTTTATCTACGCGCTCACCGAGAGCTGTGGGGACATTTGGGCTCGGACCCCACCTCCCTAGGCTACCCACACCACGGGTGCATAGAAGGTAAAGAGCAACCTCCTGCCTTTATCTACCACGGGGGAGAAACCAGGTTCCCAAATTCAGGAATTGCCAGAGAAACACCAAATACAGAAGAGCAAGTATGAAGACTCACGTCTGGGTTGATTTGAGTCCCATCCTGGCCAGAGCACCCACTCCCACACCAGGCTCTGCCAACCACCAGGTTCTCAGAGAGGTGACCACCAAACCCACCTGATTCAGCCCCTCCAGACTCCTCCTGAAGCCAGGAAAGCAGCCAGAAAACAATTTAATTAAGGACAGCTGGGCTGTAAACTCTCACCTCCAACGAGCAACACCTGCCCTCGGCAAGAGCATCCTTTGCAAACCACCACTGGGATCTTCCCCAGATCCCCAGTACCAGCTTTAAACCCATTCTTCATTCCCCACAGGGGACTGTATCGAACCGAAATTAGGTTTGTGGGGCTATAATATTTCCTTAAAAGAAACAAAAAAATGCACAGTATGCCATTCTCAGCATATTCTAAGCAAGCAGGAGTCCCTGCACATCTACAGCTCCAGCGCGCCGGTTTATATTTGGAAACATCAGTTTGTAGGGAAGAGGGTTTGATCAGTTTACAGCCTGGGAAGCTCAGAGGAAATCTCCCAGTATTGTTCCTCCCCGGGAAGAGGCATCACTCCATGTGGTTATTTACTCCACAACGGCACGAGAGCTGATGGGGGCTGGTTTTCACCCCAGGGTGGGGGCTTCCCACCCCATGGGTTTGCAGGACCAAGGTCTCTTGACTCCGCAAACGAGCGGCGACGTCCTCACGTCCACGTGCACGCAGCAAAAACACGCTTTTGCTCCAAGTTTTGGGCCCCAACACCTCGCTCCCGGCTGTCCCCAGCCACAGCAGCTCCCCCAGCACATGAAGAAGCCAAATAGACAAAAAAAACCCCACCATTGCCCTGGAACAAAACTCCAGTGGGAGAAGGGAAAGGCTGGATAAGCAGGGTGCTGGCACAGCAGAGATCCACAACTCATGTGAGCATTATGCATTATTTATCCTTTGAATGCTTGAATAAAGTTAAACGGAGTCTCGCGTGCCCTCGGCTCCCAGGAAATTTCCTTTCCCTTTCACCAATAAAACCCGTTGTTGCTCAAAACTAAAAAACAAATTTGCTGTGGGCTTGTCAACACGGGGGGTGCCGGGCAGGGAGGACAAAGTACCCCGTTTCATTTGGTTCTCATTGATTTCACTTCCCGATTCCCATGCAAATACCGCGCAGCTCGGCAAGCAAAAAAAAAAACAAACCATAAAGCAGAGCATTCAAAGCCCAAACAAGCAAGAGCTGGGTGTTTTTGTTGCTTTTCGTTTGAGCCTACTTCCACCAAAACAACCAGAAAGTGGCAACGCTTCCGAGGAGAGAAACCCTAAAGCTTCCAAGTTCCCATCCCTGGAAGCCAAGAGGAGAGGGAGAGCCGGGGGCCACCAAACCGGGACCCCGGGTTGCCCCTTGCCCCTAGGCTTTGGGTTTTGAGGTTGATGGGGGGTTTTTTGGATATTTTTTCTTTATTTGCTTCTCTTGCTTTTAGTCTTCCTGGGCAAAGTTGTGTCCCCAAGGGCAGCACCCTCCCAGCGCCGCCCGCTCCTCCAGCGCATCAAAGCCTCAACCGGTGCCTCCTTAAAAACCCCAACTAATCCCATCGCCTCCTCTCAGCCCCATTATTTGCTTTTGTTTCCCGGTGGCTGTAAACAGAAAGGGGGACGTTTCCCCTCTTTCCCGGGAGGGTTTGGTTGGGTTTTTTTGCCCCGCAGCCCTTTCCCGAGCGGCCGCGGTTCCCACCGGCGCTGAGCCCCCCCCTACCCCCCTCCCGGGGCGAGATTTGGGGGCAAACCTGGAGGTACACACCCGGGAGGGGGGGACTGAAAGGCAGCCATGGAGCGGGGGGCAAAGAAGGACAATCTAAAGCAATCTCCCCTGCCGGGAGCTACAGACCTGGGAGGGGGGGGGTTAAAGGGCTGCCATGGAGCGGGGGGGAAAGAAGGACAATCTAAAGCAATCTCCCCTGCATCCCCTCCCCAAACCCGCTCGCATTCCCGCATCCCACCAACTTTAGCATCCCGCATCCACGGCGAAGGTGGTGGTGGTGGTGGGGGGGGTGTACTGGATATTCCCTCCTACCTGGGACATCTGGGGCCTGAAGTTGATGTCCTTGAGGTCGATGGAGCCGGGGGAGAGGTTGTGGAGCAGCTGGCAGAGCAGCACCCCGTCCCGCAACGCCTGCGCCAGGTCGAAGACCACCGCCGAGGGCCAGACCACCCGGTGGTTGGGGGGCAAAACTTTGCAGTCGATGAGCCAGCGCCCGCACTGCCGCCACTCCTCCATGGCCGCGGTCCCCTCGCACACCCCGGGCCTTCCTCCCTCCTTCTTCTTCCTCCTCCTCCTCACCGCCTCTCAGGGGCAGCGGGCGGCCGCTCGGCACCGCCGCCCCCCGCTACCGCCCCGCTCCATCGCCGCCCGCCGCCCGGGGAAGCATCGCTCCGCGCCGGGGCTCTGCGGAGGAGGAGGAGGAGGAGGAGGAAGAAGGAGGAGGAGGAGGAAGAAGAAGAGGGGCGGCGCAGGAGTTTTCCGGCGGAGGGCTGCCCCTGCCCCCGCTGCGGCCCCACCGCCTCGGCCGGGGCTTAAGCGCTCCGCATCCTCCCGGGAACAAAGCGGGGAGGAAGAGGAGGAGGAGGAGGAGGAAGGCGGCGGGGGGGGGGACACACACGCACACACACGCACGTTACACGCACCCAAACCGTGCAACTTCGTCCCCCCTGCCCCGAGGAAACTTGCCGCCCAGGAGCACCCCCCTTCCTTCTCCCGCTGCCCCCAACCCCCGCCGCCGGAGCTGGGGATGCCGATGTGAGACCCCCCCCCGCCCC